GCGGGGCCGCCGCCACCAGGTACGGACCGGGCCCGGTGCCCCCCCCCGCCCCCGGCCCCGCCGCGGGGCCCCCCCGCGCCCGCCTCGCCCCGCGCTCAAAGATGGCCGAGATCGGGCCACCGCCTCCCCCCGCTTTGTGCCGCGGCCCCGGGGCACCGGGACCCCCCCTCCGCGGGAACACCGGCAGCGGAGCCCCGACAGCCCCGGGGGGAGCCCGCGGCCGCCCCGCTCCTTCCCCGGGCCCCGCGCGGGGCGATGCGGGGAATGGGGGGGGGGAAGCGGGAACCCCCCCGGGGCGGGCGGAGGGGCCGGGCCGGGCTGTCACAGCCGGCCCCGAGCACAAAGGGGCTGCGGGGCACCGGGAACGCCCCGGGGACACCGGGGCTGCCCCGAGCCGGGGGGGGGAGGGAGGGTTTGGTGTCCCCGAAACGCAGCGGGAGCTGCCGGCGGTGAACGCCCCCCCCATCGGGCACAGCGCGGGGTCACGCGTGTCCGTGTCCACCCCGTGTCCACCCCGTGTCCACCCCGTGTCCATCCCGTGTCGGTGCCCACCCCCTGCCCGTGCCCCTCGCGGGTCCCTGCCCGCCGGGTGTCACGCACCGCGGACACGTCCCACCGCCGGGACCCGGTGTGTGTGTCCGTGTGTCCCTGTGTGTGTCCCTGTGTGTGGACACGCGTGTCCGTGCCCTCCCCGCGGGGTTTTCCATCCCCGCATCCCGGCGTTCGGCTCCCCGGTGCCCGGGTCCCGGCGGGCGCTGTCGGTGGGCGCGGGGGCCGCGCTCCGGGGCCGTCTCGTCGTGTCCGCGGTGCGTGGGGGGCCCCGTGGGGGTCGTGCGGGGGGTCGGGCCGTGCCGGGGGGGAACCGTCCCGCTGTATTTCCCGACCCCCCGCTCTCGCCGCCGCCGGAGGGTCCCGCGGGGAGGGGGGGGCGGCCGCTCGGGTCTAAGTTACCGGTGACTTTGAAACGTCCTTCCCCACGCGTGCCGTGGCCGGGGGGGCTTTGGGGAAGGGAGGAGGGGGGAACACCGTGCCGCGCCACCGCCCACGGAGACAAAAGACCCCGAAGGTCGGGGCCGGGGGCGCGGGAGCCGCTCGGGAGCGGGGCGGGGGGTGCGGGCGCTGCCGGCGGGACGGGGCGGCCCCGGGGGCTCCGGCGGGTCCCGGTGCGCGGGGGGGGCCGGGGCTTTGTTCGCCCCCGCGGCAGGAAATCGCCGTGGTTATCACCGGGTTTATTAGAACCGGTTTGCGCCGGTGACTCGGGCTCCCCCCTCCCGCCGAGCCCCGGGGCCGCCATTGGCGCCTGCGAGCGCCGAAAGCTGCAAAATCCCCCCCAAAATGCAGCCGCGGGTCCCTCGACCCCGCGTGGGCAGCCCGGTCCCGTGGCAGGGGGGGCTGGGGACAGGGGATCGAGGCACCCCCAGACGTGGGGAAGGGGGTTGGCAGTGGCCCCCCCATCACTGGCAGGGTGTGGAGGACTTGGGGGCACCTGCCCGGGGGCAACAAGGGACACACCCCGGGGGCTGCCCAGGGGGGAGAGCTGAGCCTGAGGGGGTGGGGAGTGGGGCTTTCCCAAACCCCCCAGCGCCCCTGGCCCTCCCCTGCCTCTGGAAGGGGATCCCAGAGCTTGGCTTGGTCACAGGGGTGTCTCGAGGGCCCCATCCCGATGGTGTCCCATCCCTGCAGCATCTCCATCCCAGTCCCAGTGGTGTCCCCATCCCTGGTGCAGGTGTACCTGTGTGTGTGGGGATACATGTGTGTAAGTGTAGTCCATGTGCATGTACGAGTGTGTACCGGTGTGTACAGGTGTGTACATGTGTGTACAGGTGTGTACAGGTGTGTACAGGTGTGTACGTGTGTTACACATGTGTACCTCCTCTTGGGGGGGGGTGGGTGCCCACGGGGGTGGCTGTCGTTGCTCCCACACTCATTTACACAATCCCAGGGATCCTTCTCCCCTCTCCCCCTCTCCTCGGATGGTTGTAATAATATTCTGGCTCCTCTCCAAGTATCGGGGTTGCCATGGAAACAATAAAACTGCAGCGATTTCGGGCTCTGCCGTCTCCCATTGTAAACGTGGAAGCGCTGGAGCGGGAAGGCGGCGATTCCCGGTGTCCTCAGCCCCTGCTGGGGGACACTGCCCGTGCCCCCTGTGCTCACCTGGCCTGGCACACCCTCAGGGGTTCTGGGCAGGGGCAGGTGGCCAGCACAGGGCTGGGGGGTTTCTATGGAAACTGTGGGATGGTGGCTGGAAGCACCTTTTCCATGGACCAAACCCAAAATACACTTTGTGTGTGTGTGTCTGTCTGTCTGTGTCTCTGTGTGTGTGTGTGTCTGTGTGTCTCTGTGTCTGTGTGTCTCTGTGTCTCTGTGTCTGTGTGTGTCTCTGTGTCTCTGTGTCTCTCTGTCTGTGTGTGTCTGTGTGCCTGTGTGCCTCTGTGTCTCTGTGTCTGTGTGTGTCTGTGTGTCTCTGTGTCTGTGTGTGTCTGTGTGTCTCTGTGTCTCTGTGTCTGTGTGTGTCTCTGTGTCTGTGTGTGTCTCTGTGTCTGTGTGTGTCTGTGTGTCTCTGTGTTTGTGTGTCTGTGTGTCTCTGTGTCTGTGTGTGTCTGTGTGTGTCTCTGTGTCTGTGTGTGTCTATGTGTCTCTGTGTCTCTGTGTCTCTGTGTCTCTGTGTCTCTGTGTCTCTGTGTGTCTGTGTGTCTGTGTGTGTCTGTGTGTCTGTGTCTCTGTGTGTCTGTGTGTGTCTGTGTGTCTCTGTGTGTCTGTGTGTCTCTGTGTCTGTGTGTGCACACACAGGAGCTCCGGGCGAGGGACTGGCTGACAGGGGGGATTTGTCCCCACTCAGAAGTGTCTCAGCACCTTGGGGACCCACTTGGGGACCCCAGGGAGACACAAACATGAGGCAGAGGGAGCTGGGCAGCACCCGGAGCAGGGAGTGCTGCACAGGGGGAGATGTGTGGGTGCTGCTTGTGCACCTCCAGGCCTGGAGGGGTGCAGGGCTGAGGGTACCCCGGTGCTCCCAGGGCTGAGGGTGATGCTGGATTTGCTCCCTAAAGGGTGAAGTGAGCCCTGCAGGTCCCACCCTTGCCCAGAGCTGCCGTTAAGGGGGTGTTTCCCTGCAGGGAGGACCCGCCGTGGTGCTGCTCCAAAATGCACAGGACCACCAGGATAAAGATCACTGAGCTGAACCCCCACCTGATGTGCGCCCTGTGCGGCGGCTACTTCATCGACGCCACCACCATCGTGGAGTGTCTGCACTCCTGTGAGTGTCCCGGGCCCCCACGCTGCACCCAGGGGTGCCCCGAGCCCCCCAAAGGCTGGTTGTGCCACACCAACCCCCTCCTGTGCTGCCCAGACCCGCCCTGCATCCGTGGGGAGCTGTGGGGTGACGGAGGGGGCTGCAGCGGGCAGGGGTCCTGTCCCCCAGCCGGTGTGGGGGCCTGGGGGTGCCACTCTGGGCTGGCACAGAGGCTCTGCCCCCTCGTCCCTCTGCTCACACCGAGTCTCTCCCCACAGTCTGCAAAACCTGCATCGTTCGCTACCTGGAGACCAACAAGTACTGCCCCATGTGTGACGTCCAAGTGCACAAAACCAGGCCCCTCCTCAGCATCAGGTGAGCTCGGGGGGCTCCCAGTGACCCTGCAGCCTGTGCCCGCTCCGGGGTACAGCCCTGAGCACCTGGAGTGGGGAATGGGGCTCTGCCCCCCCTCACAGCACAGAATCCACCCCCTGTGCCAGCAGGGATTGAGGGGGCTGTCAGAGTGGGAAGGGAATGGGGACGGTGGGAAACACCAGCGTGGGGGGGACAGGACTTGGGACATCTCTGTGGCAGCAGGAAGAGGCTGGGAGAGGTGTCCTGACCCAGACCCATCCCAGACCCATCCCAGACCCATCCATCCATCCACCAATCCACCCATCCATCCATCCATCCATCCACTATTCCATCCATCCCCCAATATACCATGCATCCATCCATCCCTCCATCCATCCATCCATCCATCCCCCAATCCACCCATCCATCCATCCATCCATCCACCAATCCATCCATCCATCCATCCATCCATCCACCAATCAATCCACCATCCATCCCTCCCTCCATCCCTCCCTCCATCCCTCCATCCATCCATCCATCCACCAATCAATCCACCATCCATCCCTCCCTCCATCCCTCCATCCATCCATCCATCCATCCATCCCCAAATCCATCCACCATCCATCCATGCATCCATCCACCAATCCATCCCTCCATCCATCCTTCCATCCATCCATCCCCACAGTCCCCTGTGTTCTCCAGCTCCCAGCCCTGTCCCTCGTGGTGTTGGTGCCCCAGGGTGGTGCCGGGGTGGCAATGCCAAGGTGAGCACAGGTGACAGTGGGTGTGTGAGGTG